CCAAAACAAAAAAAAAGAAGAAAAAGAAAGAATAATCTGGGAACAAATACCAATATTATCATTATCAATAATAATAAAGAAGAAGAAGAGGAATCTTAAAATAAAATGGTTCTCAAAGTGACCTTCTCCACCTTTCTTCCGATCCACCTTCTTTTGTTCTTTGTCTGTATGTCTTTCTTTTACTCACACACGCACACACACAAGCGCACACACACATACAGAAAGAGAGAGAGAGGGGGGGGGAGAGAAGTACGCTACATCCTACACTATAACGGTCATAATATAATATAGTGCAGGGAAGATGCAAGAGAGATCGTCAGAACCAGTGGCACCCTCCAACCATCCAGAGGAGAAAGAGTCAGGGAAATGGAAACACACAGTGACAACGAAAAAAATGCGCATTTATTCTAGTTCTACGTGACTTCAAAGGCCCGGTTACACGAGACGATAAATTAATTGTACAAAAATTGGACCATCTTTTGTTCATAGGACAAATCGCTACATGTACTGTAACCGCAAAATCTTATTTCAAATTGGACGACTGGAGATAGATCGGAGACTCGATCGAGAAATCCAGCGCCACCTGATCCCTTTTTTTTTGTGCGTGCGCACAATCTAGGTCAGATTTGGTAGAGGCGAGCTGGGACGCAGAATCTCTTTGAAGTGTGCCAACTTTTGCATGGAGAATTTTCAAAATAATTTTATAGCAGTTTAAAAATGATTTCATTATTTATGGAATCAGCATACCAAAATAAGCAAATTGGCCCGCGAACAACCTGATTTGAAGCGCTATTTAAACTTTCGCAAACACAATTTTACTAGTGTACATAAATATAATATGTATTCTAGTTGTCATTGATGAACTTGAGGTTGAAGTCATATATCAAGGTCACCCTGTGTGTTCCGCATCTGCAAATCAAAGCTTCTACACAACAATGCATTACACAGTCACTGTACACTACTGTGCAGTATGGCGATTTGATTATTAAGTCCAAAGACAACAGTAAAAAATAAAATAAAGAGAGAAGGCATACGAAGAACTTGTTATTTTGCATATGGTTTATCAAAGGTATGAAGAACTTGTTATTTTACATATAGTTTATCAAAGGTGCAGCTAAAGATATTATAATTTAAAAGAAAAATTATAGAAACAGGCAATCTCAGAACAGTGTGAGTAAATTGATTTCACGTCAAAGGTCAGCCTCTTGTATAAATTAAAAGCCTCTTTTTCTGTCTTTTATTCACAGTCCACATTTAGATAATTCCTTGATTGCTTTTTAATTACTTTCTTGTTTTATTTGCTCGTTGTTGTCGTTTGTTTGTTAGTTTGCTTTTTTTGTTTTTGATTTGTATGTGGTTTAAGGTGGATGGTGTTGGAAGTAGACACCATTAAATCAAATATTGAGTTCTGGTATTTTCATTATGCTTTTTGTTGCTTTGGGGGTACCCTGGCACAGCAAAGGGGGGGGGGGGGGGGGGAAACTTATATTTGTATTGAAAAGCCCCTACCGCTTCAATAAAAATTGGACAGATCTAAGCCTACACGATCATGTAAGCGATTTTATCTCTCAGATTAAAGATGCACCCATAGTTTGCTCACATTTCAGACTTGAACACATACAAAGCTAATTTGTCAAAAGTTCTTGGGTGTTTTGCTTTTATTTTGTTAAATTCATTATTATTCTTAAAAATGATTACATGGACTAACTAACAAAAGAAAGATCTGGACACAAAAGCAAGGCGGCAGTCATATTGACTTCATGAATATTTAAATATTGGCCCAAAGTACATGCATGCGCAGTTCGCTTAAAATTGTGGTTGTGTCATTCATCAGGACCTGGCCTCGTTTTTGGACTTACCGGTGCCACAGTTAAATCTGACCGAACTCTGATTTCACGCAAATCAACTTCAAATCACAATTACGACTCTTTTAATTTTTTAAAGATCATCTATAGATATAGTCGCTACCGGTAGAACACAAACGAGCCTTGTACTAGATTTCTTGACTAGATCTAGATCTATATTATGTTATACATTTTTAAGGATGTAAGCTTGCTTTCCTTTCTACCCCAAACGGTCAACCATACCCCCAAAATAACGATAAAACAAACCCCCAAAAAACCCATTATAAAAACATATATAAACGGAAAATGTATAGCAATATTTTTCAGCTTTTAGTTATTGAGCCTTTCACGTCCCGACACATTCCTAAACACAACCGTGCACAATAATAATTATTTAGTGGGCTATTCCAATTACCTCATGATACGTTTGCATTCTTAACTTTTACCTGAATGCAGCAGTGTCTTAGCGAACGCACCCTGGCTACTTAACCTATTTTCTCCCCGCGGCAACCTACTTCAATTATGATTGGTCTAAAATTAGCTAGGACGCAAATATCGAATCTGATTGGCTGGTCTCATGTAAATAGGTCATGTTGACCCTTGCCTTGCTTCCCCTTGGTCCAGTCACACGTTGGTGACCCTGAGGTATGATTATTGTCAGTGTGACCAGGCCTCGCAATGGCGCAATACGTGACCTCGTCATCAAAAGCAAACACACCACTTGCCCCTTTCCGATATCCCACTCTCACCAGAGAATGACCCCCATGAGGTCGTATCAAATCAATAGAGGGAAGGGCAAATACGTTATGGAAGCTCTAAATAGCATCTCCAAGTTGTCCTAGTCCAGCGATCAATCAATGAACACTCTCAACAATACATCACAAAAACGAAAATGCATAGGCCTACTTATTAAGAAGGAGCAACATTCCAAAAAAGAATAGAGATTTTTTTAGATCCTCATAAACATGTTAATTTTTTTTATTAAGATTTTTTAACGCCCAAAGTACTCACGTCACTCTTGGCAAATAGATAAATGTGCGCCTGTAATATAAACATTTTCCAACCAAGAGGTCACTCCCAAACACATTCAATGCAGGAGTTCGCGAATAGAAACACGGAGCAAGATGTAGCCAGCAACACAGGTACACACATACACACACACTCTTAATAGTATATTGCCGTGGAGTAAATTTCCATAACTCACACACCAGCGACTCTCCGTTCCCACAGAACACTCATACAGATAAAACGAAGCTCTACAACGTTTTACGTCACTGGTGGTTAGAAAAAAAAAGAACAAGAATAAGAGTTCAAATGATGACCCATTTCTCGATGAATGACCCCATAACATTGCAAACAAGACAACGCACACTGTCGTTTCGAAACAGGAAAGTTTGACACAGGAAAGTTTTTGCCAGTACACAGCTGATCTCAAATTATCACCATAGTGAACATAAACACACGTTGCTCAACGAAACACATTCTAAAGTGAAACTAAGCTACTGACCCAGTTTTTATCTGAACAAAGCAAAATGCGGCTACACGGAGTCCTACAAAAATGCCAAACTGGGTAAACCCGTACAACTCGTTGCCACGCTGCGCTGCTATCCTTTCGAAAACTCAGGAAGAAAACAAAATATCCTATTCAGCAAGGTGAGAAGACACTATCACATGGACACAAAGCTAATCACACAGATATTTGAAAGTCCTTACCGTTCGAACCAGGAGGAGTCTGTGTTCCACCCGTGGGTGACCGACTTTCCTCCATCTCCGTACATATGACCCACTTCTGTGATAGCCTGCCGCCCTGACCCGTGGCGGTCTTTCCCGTCATTCATCGGGCAAAATGGTTGCTTTCAATAACACACCCACTTCCGTGTAGATGTTTTTCCAACTTTTCATGTATTCTTTTCATCTGCACGTTACGTTTTACACTGTGGTAAGGCTGAAAACGGTTGTTACAGTCGCTTGTTGTTCCTTGCTCGGGATGGGTTTTTTAAAAAAGAGATATGGGCTGACCAGTCAGTTATCGCATGGGGTCCTGTTCTGATCAGCAACTTTCGCAATGTTGACAGTGGTGATGTGATGTTGTTGACATTGTGATTGAACTGACTGATTGAGACATTCTCAACATGAGACATGATGAGAAATGATATGATAATCTCGATATTGTGATTGTAAGAATTTATATCATAGACCTATTATATGTTGCACAGTATTGTATGGGTATTTTTTTTACTTTCCTTCCCGTCTCACACTACTTAGCTCCCAGTTGACTGTCCATATTTTTCTTCCTTCCTAGAATCTATATCTATCTAGATCTAGATCTAATATCTAGATCTAGAATCTAGATCTAAATCTAGATCTAGATCTAGGCTACATGTAGATCTAGAATCTAGATCTAGTCTAGATCTAGATCTAGATCTAGATTTAATTTAGATCTACAGTCTAAATTATAGATCTTAGATCTCTAGATCTAGATATATCTAGTTATTGATGCGCTGAACACAAATATATCAATGGGGTGCTTATTGGCCCACAGGGGCATATTATATGATTTCCCCTAGAACATTTCTTGCCCACAAAATTGCGAGTTATCTCCCCTGTATTTGGTCTCCTCCCCCCCCCCCCAATCCACAAAGTCCGTCAATCATATATTTTAAATTGAAAATGTATAGTATAGTTTTCTAATATAATGCTAAAAATTAAATTAAAAGATGAACAATAGAGTCTACAAGAAGTTTCACATCTTCATCTTGTTATCCAACACAGTATACATAGAGTTTAGTAAACTAAGAAATAACTCAATTATAATACCGTAATATATTGTTTGCCGAAAGAAGCAAGCCCACATCCAGAGAACCTAAATTCTAAATGAAATACTGTTCGCAGACAATCAAAGTCTGCTACTGTATAACAATAACACTGAACTGCAGGAACACCGCTGACAAACAATCAAATCTGTAGAAATGTGTGCGAGATGGAATGCCTCAGGAAAACATTAACAAAAAGGGATAAAGTGAGAAAAAATAAAAGAGAACAAGTTTGGACAACACCACATATGAAATACATTGAAAAAACAACGCATTAAATTTAAATGGCCCATGTGGGCCAATAAGCCCCAGCTTATTTGCCCATGTGGGCCAGTAAGAGCAGCCATATATATATATATGGAATTCGTATATAAATATATATCAACTTCATTTCCATCTCAAATTAATAGCCTAGATCTAGTTTTTGAAATAGGTCGTGTCAATTACCACCGAGTGACGCGGTGGCAATTGACAAAAATTGACTTTTTGTCAATTGCCACAGAGTAAATTGGAGCTCTTTTGCGTTGGTGGGTAGTGGGCCGTGGGTAGATCTAGCTTATTGTGCTCGAATGCTGGGTGTTGTGTGTTCGCCTTTCTGTCCCTCTGTGTGTGTGTGTGTGTGTGTGTGTGTTTGTTCGTGTGTGTGTGTGTGTGTGTGTCTTTTCCTGACCCCCGTCCCCCGATTTATGTTCCCCGATATAACGGGAATTTCTGCTTGAATTTGTGTGCGTTTGTGACCTACTTCCAGAATTGCCTGTGTTGGTTCTACACCAAAGTGTAGGCTAAGGCTAGCCTAGATCAAGGAGTTTAGAACTAATGGAGCCTCCTCTCTCTCTCTTCGCGGCGCCACGAGCAGTACGCCGCGGTGGGGATCAAAAATGGCCGCCGAGTGTGGGCTAAGTCTCGAACTGTGGCGTTTCTTTTTATAGAATCTTATCGGGCTGGGCCACGTTGTGGGGGTGGGCGGGGTGGGGGAATGCACGCAAGGAAGAGGGGATGGAGCAGGGATGAAAGAGGAGGGGCGGGCTTGGGAAGGGACGAAGGAGAATGGGAAAAATTAAATAAAAGAGAGAGAGAGAGAAAAAGAGAGAGTGAGAGAGACAGACAGACAGACAGACAGACAGACAGAGAGGAGAGAGAGAGAGATTGTGATCAACTGCCGGGCTGATGGATAATGACAGGGAGAAAAAAAAAAAAGAATTATGTGTTTGATACGGACTATTCAATTCTTTAAGAGTTTTATGTTATAATCTAGTTTAAAAATCAGAAAGATGTGTAAAATAAGAAGAAAACTTGTCCAAGCAACATAAAATTATCAAACATACCAAATTATAAAGATAATCTTTCAAGATGCCAATCTATTTAATTATTAGAAATGGATAAAAATATACTTTAAAACGGAATTTAAGATTATGATTGCATGATTTTAGGCGTGTGCCATAACTAACTTTATGTGTAAGGAATAGCGAACACAACAGAGGGTCGATGCCAGCTTTATCTGATTGCTAACAGTATGTCTTGGTCTATAAATGATAATATTATTGATTACAATAATTTTGTTTCCTGGTTTTCACAAAGTAGAGCGCACAATGATTTCAAATATTAAAAAAAAAGAGATAACAGCACCTTTGGAGGTGTGATCGCATGTATGAGCGTGGATGACCTTTAACATAGAAAATATTCATCATTATTGTTGTTGAGTATTGATTTCATATTCTAATGGAGCCTCCAGATATCTACATTTAGACAACAGTAGCATCTAATTTGCACACACAATGGAAAACAATATAAATGTATAATTGTATACATACACACACATAATAATTATATATACACATACTAATTATATATATATATATATATATATAAGAATACTTTTAAAAAATTAAGTATCTCGGTCTTTCTGCTGGAGTGTTGTATCCCTTTCAGCCTGGGTTGGCCTTGGCAGGTAGCGCCGGAGCCAGCCTCTTATGAATGTTAATGATCTAAATTGTGTTGCTGGGGGCATAAAAACACTTTCATTAAAATTTTTTAAAAGGAAAACAACTTAACTGTGAAACCTTCGGTCCACTGCAGCATCATATCAGTTCTTACACTTAAATACAACACATATGCAAGGCATTTTTACTAATTGACTTGCCTAATCTCAAGGACCTTGGAATAAAACCTTCTTTCTTATCTAGATTTTAGTGCGTGAGTCGGGGATTCGCGCAGCGCAGGTAGACCACAGTTCCGCCGTGAGAGAGGGCTCCTATCAGGCGTGCGGTGCCGCCCACAGAGCATCCTCCATTACTTTTAATCTCCTTGGCTTAGTTCTAGCTCATTGAAAACATGCTAAGTTGGTACTGTAGCTCTAGACTAGATGCTCGTCCAATGAAATTAGTTAAGAACAAATTGATCCATTAGACACACATTCTGTATAAATAATGCTAAAGGTAGTGTTGTTATCAGACTTGACACCGCTTCACTCGGTGGCAATTCACTCGGTGGCAGTTGGCAAAAAGTCAATTTTTGTCAATCGCCACCGCGTCACTCGGTGGCAGTTGACACTACCTTTGAAATTATAAGGCCCAGACCTATTTGATTGTTCTCGTTCGGGATAGACGTACGTGCTTTGGACCAGTCGGGGGGGGGGGGGGGGGGGGGGGGGGTCCAGGCCCTCTGGAGTAAAAGAAAGTCTGGGTTACAAGGGGGCATGCCCCAGGCTGTTTTAACCCATGCCATAGCCTGCCATGCCTAATTTGGTATTTTACAGTTAGATTTGAAATTTTCTTGAAAATAGGCCTGATTTGCGACAGTTGTAGTGTGTGATCTGCAGCAAACAGTACTGGAGTTTGACCCCTGAAGCAGTGCATCTGTGTGCGGGAGTGAAAGTAAAAATTTACGTTTGTATGTTCCTTTGCCGTTTGCCCACGACAATACTGTTATTGTTTGAAATATTTAAAGTTAAAGTTAATGATGGATAAATATATATATAGGAGTGAGGGTTTATAAGGTAGTAGATCTAGTTAGTAGGCTAAGTAGGCCATTGGAAGATAGGCATCCCTACTCTGACACAGTGGCCTGGCAGCTGACAACGCAAAGCCTGGGTTACAACAGTCTCCGCCTTAGATCCCGATCCCAATTCGCGAGAGATCTCTTAAGTTTAAGTTTAAGTGAAAATGGAAATATAAAATTTAGGCCTACACACAAAAATAATGATCCCTAACTAAGAATAAGATCCTGATCGAAGGGACTAAATTTGGCTACAAGCTATTGAACAAAAATGTGGATGCACACTTTTACCCTACACAGCTGGTTAAAAAGCATGAAAATTTGTGACCATTGCCATTCATTATATTGCATTGGTGTCAGAGATCATCCACCTCGTGAATGTGATCACCTCCTTGTTGTATCTCAGTGAGTGGGTACAGTGTTTGTCGAGACAGGTTTTTATACAAAAGGTGTGAACTCATCAACGAGTTTGTTTTCTCTATACACGTCTTTCTCATATTTGTGCCCTCCACCTGAAATTATTTATATATTGCATGGTGGGAGGGTAGGGCCAACAAGGCCTCATCAGTTGGGATCACTTTAAGTTCTAAGTGTGAACTCTTCAGTGCGTTTGTTTCCTTGACCATTGCTCTTGTGTCACAGCTCTACACGAGACTTTACTATAAACTTTGAAAAAGACAGTCGCCCATTCTTGGGGACTGTCTTGTATTTTGCGTGTATAATAAATTGACGTTTGTTTGCAGTGAGCCTCCCTTACTTTCTTTGATTTTCACCATCTCTCACTCTGGCAATTTTTAAAATCTTAGCTCTTGGTCTTACTATTTCATTGTCTCCTCCTCCCCCCCCCCCCATCTTTTTCTTGGCCTGGGTCTTCTCCCTTCCAGTACTATGTGCCCCTGTTGATTTTTCTTGAGACTATGAGATTTGCCAATGAGTGCCAGACTTTTTGTTTGCGATTTTTTTGTTTTCTGAAGTTCTAGGGCACCTGGCACGCTTGATGCTGCTTTTACTTCATCATCAGTGATGTGGTCCTTGTACTACTTTATAGATTTCCTGGAATTTGCAAAACCATATGATCACTAAGCTTTTCTGCTCTTCTCTAAATATCTCCTGACAATATTGTCAGTTCATGATTCAAAAGCTACCAACAATTTTGGCAATATATATCCTAGGAGGGCATCAGTTTGATTTTTGAGCTGACGTTTTTGTCTCTCTAAACAAACTTCAGTTTATCAATGTTTCATCTCTTACCACTGCAAGTCGTGAAATTATGCTGTTGATTAATTTCTCGACAAAATTATTTACTGTCTTCCCAGTAACCAATGAGTTGGTTCTATTGAAAGCCAGATGTTGGTAGCTGAGCATCAATGGGAAAGAATTGTTCCACGGATATAGCAACAATGGCCAGCATTGAGAATTGAGTCCTTCATTAAAAATTATGTTTAGAAATGGACACTTGATCTTAACTGTTTTTGTGCTGCAAAAGAATATATATATATGTGTGCTATTTCTTAGTTAAATTATTTTCATATATTATATTTCAGTCATGTTTTCTCTGTTCTACCTACAGGCTACAGATTATATTGAAAATTGATTAAAGATGCCCCATTCTGTGGAGAAAGATTTTTCTTATGTCTTTCATACAAAATCGACCAAATCGACGCTCAAAGTTGCTGTTACTGTCCCATTGCGCACATCTGTGAAAGAGTTTGTGGCAAGACTAGTACAAGCTCATAACCTTCCCTGTTTTGCTGTGCAGGGTAAAGCTTTTTTATCTGTTACTTTTGTTCAATATATTACATGTAGGTTTTTTTTCTCAGTTCACCTCATTGCGTTAAAGAGAAATCATCCACGTGGGTTATATAGTCTGACAAACATGTTGTGAAAATGCTAACTTCTCTTCCTAGGTATTTTATTGCTTTTACTTGTTTTGTATTTTGTGTTTTATGTGTGTGTGTGTGTGTGGGGGGGGGGCATTGAAGGCATAATTAGACATTTTTTATCTCCATAAATGTGATCGTATTAACAATAGCTTTTTAGAAATATGGATACCTTCTATGACGAAAGATCAGTGGCTCTTTGAATTCCTCTGGGATTTATAATGAGGGCAAGAGTTTTGAGTCAGCCTGTGTGAAAAAAAAAGAAAGGCTTCCAAAATACATTTAAATCTTTTTAAAAAACCTAAATGTTCCTTGTAATCTTAACAAAGTGTGAATATCAGTAAATCTGGAATGTATTAGGGTCAGACCACCTATAACTTCAGGTTATGATTGTGTTTTACATTTTCAGACCTGGAAGAGAAATTGGAGGAATTTGTGAACAGAGAGAATTGTTCGCTTCAAGACAAGAATGCAGAGGATGCCATTAAAAAAGTTAAAGATGGGGAAATTAATGCAGATGACTTGGTCAATCAATGGCTGCCTGCCTATACGGAGGTGAGATATTAAAACCACATATATATAGCAAATGAAATTCAATGTTATGTCAGGTTGCAATCATCTTGCTTGTTGTCTTTTTTCTTTCTCTTTTGGAAACCGAGTGTTTGTTTACAATTATACTTCTCTATTCATATTATCAATTCAAACCAAAAATAATATTCAAGCATTTTTCAAACTCTGATCTATTTTTCAGGAGCTCAAACTGTATTCCAAACCATATGAGCCAAGCAAAGACGAGAAGTTTGCTGAGGTGTACCACTCCTTGATCCATTCACCGGCCTTGGAGACTTTATTGAATTTAGAGCACGAGTACTCGCTTGGTGTGGAGAGGCTCATCAAAGACAGGGACAGGGATCTCCAACACCTGCAGGAAAAGTGAGACCACAGCATGTACTTTTTAAAAATCTTGTGTAAATTTGACATATATGAGACAATGATGCCTGCTGATTTTATCTCAAGTAAATTTGACACGCCAATGGCTCATGTGAATTTGACAAGCAAAACGATACTGCATACTGCTTTTATTTCTTGTAAATTTGACAAGTCTTAAGTACCACTTTTGAGGTGTTCCACCCAGTAAGGCTATAGGGAGCTGCTTACACTGCAGAGATATCCCCTTTCTACAATGTGATTTTTTGGGGGGGAAAGTTCAAGGTCAAAAGGTCTGACCGCAATAACAACATCAGCAATAATTGTATTTTAGTCTGCACAGAGCACTATAATGAGATATGATTCTTTTTCAGATATTTCAGATTTTATCTTTCATGTGAGGTCCTTTTTGTATGTTGTTTGGATATTTTTTTTTTTCTTATCCGTCTCTCTCTGTGAAAGTTAGTTAATTTGGTCGCCTAAAACTTCCGAACCACTTAACTGAAGAATTTTGAAACAAATTATCGGTGGTTCAGAATCAAATAAAGGGTGCACTGTTATATTAAGGAGTCTGAAGTCAATGTAGTTTAATTTTCAGTTTTTCATTAGTTCCGTTTAGATCTGATCTTGGGAGAGTCCGTTGGTTCCACAATGACTTGACAATCGATTCTTTGGAGTCTGTTCATCGAACAGGTACCCAGCTAGTAATCAAATAAGTTTGGGAAATGATGATACTTGTTTGCTCCATCCATACTCTATTCCTTTATATGCCTGAGTTTTGGAATAACTGATTACACTTTCAATCCTCCATGGCTCAATAATCATATGTTTCTGCAAAATCTTCAAAATGTAAAGAGATGTAACTTAGGTATTTCTCTGTCCTGTCCTCAGACAGCGCAAGGAGATGGACGAGGCCTTGGCAAATGTTGGCACCGTTTACAGAGATGAGGATATCAATCTGCTAGCCCAGAGACAGTTTGAGAATAGCCAGGTATGTTAAAATGAATGTTTATTGTGTTTGTTTGCGTGTTCCTTTTTTTTCCTGGTAGGAATTATTCAATCATCCAAGTGAATCGGTGTCTTCACTTGTTATTGTTTTATGTTGTTAGCACAGTTCTATTTGAAATGTAGGCCTACTGTGGTTTTAAAAAGGGGTGTTACAGAATAAGCCTATCTCAGCTAATACCACTCCTAAAGAGCTTATATTTGGTGTGAATGATTATATGGCAATGGAGATTTGTTACCAATTGTCCAAAAAAAATGTTGATTCGGTTGCCATGGAAATGGTGGCCATATTGGATTTTAGAGACGTAATGTGGTACCATTTTTCTCACTTTATTTACAGACAGATTATAGGAGGAATTTTTTATATCTGCTTTAGTTTTTATTTTATGGTACTTTCAATTCCGGCTATAACGAAATACAGTAGTCTCCACCTAAGATCCCACTGGTTATGGTCCTGGTTCACCTAAGATATGTTTTGGAAGAACAGAATATTTACTATATATAAAAGTTGCCCCTAAGATAACACTCTGACCCGCACTGAATGAGCTCCATTTGGCTAAGATCCTGCTTTTCAGGTTATATTTTAGTTGGGTTTTTTTTTTGCTGTTGTTTTTTTTTAAGAATAAAAAACCTGGGTATGCTCAGCTGATCAACCAAATTGCGAAAATGTACGATCATTGTATGGTCCATCGCGTCATGGATCATCTACTCTCGTGAACACGATCACACCTCAGTTGTAAAAATCTCGATAAGCGGTAACAACGTTTTCCCCAGACGGGATGGCACTGAGGTGTGAAATCGTCGATGCGTTGCTTTCCCTGATCATTTTATGAGCCGTCTGCCTGATCTTACTTCACACACAAGGTGGGGAGGGCCTACAAGTAAGCATCAGACTGCATTCTATCAAACTGGGAACTCGTTGACGCTTACGTTCCCCCGACCAACGCTCTCGTCTTTCAGTTTTGCACTCGAACTTCCTAGACAGACTGGTGCCCATTCTCGTGGACTGTACAATCGCCTTTGTGTAATGTGATCATCTGTAGTCAATGAACCTGCCTTTCATTTGAACGAAAAATTAGTTGTGTGGTCACAACACAACGATTTATGATGCATCATGACATGGACGGGGAACTCTGTCAGAGATGGAAAGCAATACATTTTTGGTGGGGGGCATTGCCTGAAGCCAGCTGGTTCCCACCCTGACATTTTCTTTTCAAACCTCCCCCCCCCCCCAACAAAATAAAAGGGAAAAACTGACTCCTGGAAAAAACTTTTAGTGCCCAGGAGTCACGTCAGTTCATTTTAAAGTAAGGGGAGATCATTGTACCGATGTTGGGCCTCACTATGAGTTACTGTGGCCATTCAGTTAAGATCCCGGTGTGCCTATAATCCCGCATTTTCCTTGCTCGCGAGCACCGGTATCTTAGGTGCAGACTATTGTAGTGGAAAACTGGAAAACCTTGCTTTTCAAAGCTCATAGATTAAGAACTTATGCATTTATCAATAATTTCTCTTAGGGATAGCTAGATTTGTATGGCTTTGACATTCTGTGAGTCTTATTGAAAGCGAGTCAGAAACAGAGCAGAAAAATAGTACCAACCGTGAAAATATAGCGGGGTTTTTTTGGGGGGGGTTTTTTGGTACAAAATTGGCAAACATTTTCTCAAACAGACTCGACCCTGCGCTCTAAAATCCCCCCAAACACCACTTTAGGATGCAGGAAGGCTTCTGCACTTTTTTAGATATTGTTCAAGACATGTTCAGGAATTTTTAAGTGTAATTATCTCATTTTGTGTAATTTGGCCCCAAACCGGCATTTCTTGTTGGTTTAGTCAAAGTAGCAATACCTAGTCAAGAGGGAAAACAAACATTTGTCATTAAGGTTCAAACAATGAAAACTTGTGCTCTTGGCTTCACCACAGTACTTAGTCAAGTGTGAGTAAAATTCTGTCTTAAAGGCTCCGCAATGTAAAGTTTCGAAAAGGATTAGAGTCTCTGCTCTTAACGTTTTACTGTAAACCTCAGGTCCTATCATTTTTACTAACTTTCCTTTGACAGACTGTGGAAAGCAAGTGGGTGTCAGAGCTGTCTGCTCTACACGAGCAGCAGAAGGCAGAGTACCGGGAGTGGGTGCACAGAGTGCATGAAGATTCTCAAGGCAACACTACTCTACCTACTTATGTGTGAGTGTCTGCAACCTCATTGCGGGTTTCTTTTTTGGGGGGGAGGGGGGGTTATAGAGTTTTTACGATGCTCGTAACTGCTTAAGGTCATATGAACGCCAAGGGGCTGATGTCAACAGAGAAGTTCATACAGGTAATCAGGCTTACCTTGCTCACATTTCTAGCTTCAACAGCACAAAGTCTGCTTTGACTATCAAGGCATCCCCAAAATAGCGGGTGACAAGAGAGTGACGAACATACAAAAGAAGTAGAGGAAATGATGATAGTAAGGATAAGGAAAGAAAAAGCAGCAGTACCCTGTATGCTGTTCAGGCACAGATATGAGCATGACATTGATGAATCAGCCCATTTACTATTCTACTGAGCATAAGAACACGTTTATTCCCCTTTGGGAATGGCCAAAAGACACTTCAGTCAGCAGCACCGCCGCGGGGGCGGGGGGTTTGTTTACTTCTTGCAGTCAGTACAGGCAGTTCTCCATAAATGTGCAATTCCATGGAGGCACTCAAAAGAAATTTAAACACAAAAAAGTTGTCGTCTCTAGTTTCGGGTACCACCTTTACATCTACACCAGGATCGGGAAATGTCAGTAAAAGTGGATAACTACTCTTTCTCAGTGTACCATTATCACAGCTTGTCTTCTGGTCCTGGTGTTCTTTTGACAATGTGAGCAGACAGAGCAGAGAACATTCCACTGCAGTTGCAAGAAAAATGTTCAATACCTTCTGTGGATTTACTATTTTTTTTTTTTTTAACCATGTTGATATGTCCTATGTGACATCCACAACTCACTCACATGATAGAATCTCAATAACGATGTCTATGGTGTACGGGTTAGGAGATTTGCTGTGGCATGCAGGAGACCAGAGTTCGATTCTCATGTGGAGAGAATTTATTTCGCGAGTGTCTCAATCTTTCTGCTAGGACATTGAGTTTTGCTCAGCCCGAGTTGGCCCTGACAGGCACGCTTAGAAGCCTGCTTCCAAATCAATCTAAATTGTATTGATTGGGGTGTAAAAACAGTTGCATTAAAAAAAAAATCTAATTGTACATCATTCTCCAGATGTTGCTTAGTTATTGCAGCAAGTTTTTGAATTCTATTATTTTACATAATGTTCTCTCTGTATGAGCAAGAATTTATGGTGCAGTGGTTGGTCAGGCTCTTCAACTTGTATGACAGACGAATGGGATTCCCTCATAAGGGGAGATCTCTTATGGAAAACCTCTTTGTGCTACAATAGTCACTATGCCACTTTGCTAGAGTTTTTCTCGTCTGGCATGGTGGACACAAAATGCCTTGTAAATTATTTGAAATGTATAGATATGAGCATAAAAATATATAGTCATTACAACTTTTTTTTCTCTAAATGTGCACATGCTCAGATAGGGAACTCAGACCTTTAGATTTTACTTGTTTTCGTTTGTTAAAGCCTTGTTTATATTTATTCCTATTTGATGTCTATTATATTGCTTTTTATTCACACTTCGAGGTTGTCATTATATTACTTCCATTCATCTGAAATAGAATCGCGCACTGTGCACACTATCATGTAAGCCATTCAAATATGATACATTCCATTTAAACAATAGCTGAACAGAGAAAAGATTGCAAATTTGAATCAAATTAGTAGTCCCACATTTGGTCAGCTACCTTTTACTTGAATGTGTCATAGGGGAACTGTTTGCATGATAGTGTGTTGCCCCCGTTAAAATGCTGAGATATGCTCGTTTGCAGGCAAAGACTTCGCAGCATGTCCAATGCTTTGCCGGATGCTGAAGAGGAGGAACGAGAGGCTCCAATCACAAGGCTAGAGGAGAGCTTCACTATACATCTAGGTGAGACAATTGGTTGTATTTTCTTCTGCTTCGTGTTCGTCGCTAAAGGGACACCCCAGTCTCCGGGTTCTCCGCAGGTCCTCCAGGTGCCTATAGAGTTTTGGTTGTCTCTGCCTCGGGTTGGGCCAATATTTCCTTCTAAGTGCCTTGAGCATTGGTCAGGCTTTTAATACAGTCGAACCTGTCTTAACGGAAACCTGTGTAAAACAGAAACCTGTCTTTACGGAATCTCCCCGCTCCCCCCTTGATATATTCCTCTTTAATTACCTGTACAAAACGGAAACCTGTCCAACGCGAAAACGGAAAGAAAAATCCACTCCCTTCCGAGAGTTTCACCTGTCTAAGACGGAAAATGCTTTGCCCGCTCAGCCCTGATTTGAAACAAAACTCGCAAGTTTGGTTCCGCCGGCTCTAAACTTAACGCCATGGCCATGCCGCTGGGCGAGGAAGGGGAGTAGGGGTGCAATGGGGGTAAAGTATAAGTTACCCTATGTTACCCCATCTTGTGAGCACTGAGTGCTGCAGATGGTCAGTGTAGTGTGGGTGTGATATCTCTCGACTGCCCGTGAGAGTGCTTGAGTAGCCAGCCACTACGGAAACTTTCCTGGGTAGCCAGAAGCCAGAGGTGTGAAATTAGATTAACCAATGCCTGCCGCCCTGATCGTACGGCCAGCCGAGAAAAGATTTCCTCGAATCGTTGTTACAATGATGGCTGTGCGGGGTGGCATTGGTAGGTGGGGCTAAGGGTGTTTTTGATAGGTCAAACAGTGGTCCTATGAAAGGCAAGCACTGGTGGTAATTGGATAAGTAAGACTGACGCATGTCACTATCAGACAGGATAGCAGCTGAGAGGTGTGAAGTTTTGACCACCACTGCTTGCCGGTCGGACAAGCGATCCTTGATCCTACCGGCTGGGCCTTTGAACCCCCCGCCCCACACACCAAATTCCCCTGTCTAAGGCGGAATTTTTTTCCCGCTCCCTTGCAATTCCGTCCTACACAGGTTCGACTGTATATGGTTTCCTGCTTGGCAGCCAGTACCACACCGACACTGTTCTAAATTACCAATCTAAAACTTTGTGTTGAGGTGGTGTTTAGGTCAATTGTGCCGTGTTCTAAGGCTGAACAGAACAACCTGCTCTTGGTGGGCGAGGAGGTAGGTGGGGTCTACCTGGTTGCGGAGTGGGTGTTGTTCCTTCCACTTTGCTTGTAGCCCCATTTTGACAGTTGGTTGTAATTTTAGGTAAATCATCCCGCACAGAGGTGAGAAATTATCCATACAAGTAAGTGGAACATTGTCAATGAATTTAGTTAAAACAATACCCATGACATTCAGATGAGACTTTTACCCATACCTTTAGGGTAGACATGTATCCATGCCTTTAGTTGAGACTTTTATCAGTATATTTAGGTGAGACATTTATCTGTATATTTAGGTGAGGCGTGTATTCATACAATCTGATGAGAAATTTGCTCATATAATAAGTTGGGACATCTACTTTATCCACAGATTTAGGTGAGATATCTATCTGTGCACTATCCACACATTTTTGGGAGAGATTTATCCTCCCGTTTATGTGAGACATTATCCATACATTTTAGAGCCATCTGTTGTTGGGAGTACTGCATTTTATTGCAAATTTTGTTGCATGCTTCTCTTTTTCTACAATGAGCAAACTTTTGAGCACATATAAAAAGAACAGCAGTGAGTGCATTGTAATTTTCCTATCAAATGTTTTATGCAGCTGCGATTCTATCTGTTTTAACTTAAGGTGAGCTCTTTGACCACAGATTTGACATAACTCAGAACTGAACAACCCTTTGTAAACTGTTTTCTGCTGACAGAAAACAAAATTATGATTCAAATTTTAATACTTTCCAAAGTGTTTGGGATATGGCATCGCATTAATGTGCATTAAGCCAATAATTTCTGTCTTGAACTAGTTATGGTTTTTAAAGGGGTATGTTTTTAATTCTGTGGTTGGATAGGTTTCTGCTAAAATCTAGGATCAGTGATCAGTGCATAGCATTTTGTCAAGGAAAAGGCATAATATTCTGTCTGAAACAGGATTTCTTCTCTGCCCGGTGAATTCTGCTGTTAGGCAAAATTAGTTTATTCTTGTTCAGAAAAACTTGCTGATTACTTTATATTACGGTATGTATGTGAGAGGTGATGTTTCAAGCACCTTTCTGCATGAATTAACACTTTTCACCCATGCAGTGTGCAATACTTTTCCCCACGGACCAGCATACAGGTGCGGTACATGATATATCACACTGTCACCGATCGGCGTCCCATGGGGAAAAGGTACGGCTTCTTACTGTCGCAGATCGGCGTCCCGTGGGGGCAAAGTGTTAACTGATATGTGTGTGAGACTGTTTTTCTTTGTCTTCCAGGGGCCCAGATGAAGACAACACACAATTTACGCTTGCTATGTACAGATATATTAGAACTCTGTCGCCATAAACCACACACGGTTGGGTAAGACTTTTTTCACCTTTTGTCGCTTCCTTATGCTGAAAAATTTTTGTTGTTTTCCTGTCAACACCAGATACTTTCCTGTATCTCAGTCTCAATCCAAAACTGAAATGCTTTTTCTAATATATTCACTTTCCATTGCTGATAGCTAATGAGCGACCCTAGCTGTTTCCTGTTCTAGTTGTTACTGAGAATTAAGTCAGGAGACTGGCAATGCTGAAAAGGAGCAGAGGAAGAAGAGCTTATCATGTGTTTCATAATGATTAAGATACCAGAGAATTTGCTGTCTGATGTCTCAGTTTCTCTTTGTGGTTTGCTCTCAGTAGTAATAATAAATTGCATTTTTATTGCCCATTTTCATCTCGACGAGATGGTCAGTGTGCTCTACAATAAATCAGTTAAAGTAGACAAATGCACAATTGAGAATTTTACCCCTACTAAAAAAAAAATTACACATTTCAAAATTCTGGTTCATTGACAAGAATCCACTTTTATAATAAACAAGTATATGAACATAAAAATGCACATAAGTTTGTACATAATGAAAAGATTTTTGGCTTCCATGTATTTCACAATGTATATGTTTAGATCGTAGCTGTTGAAAAGATGAGTCCTCATGCCCTTTTTAAAATGGGTCAAAAGTGCTGCTTGCCTCGTTTTATATGGGATGATATTTCAAATGTTGCGCCCGGAATGGAAAAATTTTCTTTCTCTAAAACTTTTGGACTTTACCTTTGGCACAACTAGCTTATCAGTTGGTGGCCTGAGCATTTTGGATGGATGATAGACCAGATTGGCACAACAGAACCACAAGGGCATTACAACCACTTTGGTATAAATTTCAACACAGTTTATCCCAGACGTCACAGATAAGATTGTTCTTCTCAGTGATAGCACTATTTCTGTAATAAGACGTGATGTTGTATCTCCAGAGGTGTGGTGATTCCTCAGCCGCAGCGACTCCAGACAGCCATGTCTCTATACTCGCACAGTCTGTGTGGGGTGGTCATGCTGGTGGACAGTCGTCTCAACACTTACACCGGCTCCAAGCAGAGTGAGTGGCTCATATGTCTCTACAAGCTGGCACTACTGTTTGGTTTCACACCTACATCAAATTCTCTTCCACACTTCCTATGTAATAGAATTGTCAGTTACTAGTAAAATGGTTTGGGTTTTTTTCCCTCATTGTAAGGAACCATTTCAGCTGTTATTATGTTGATGTACTTCTTTAAATAAAACAGTAAAACGAACGCTTGAACTTGTTTCCTTCGTTTCCGTTTACCCGAATGACATTTAATCTGTAAATTTGATCAACTTGTCTTTCTGTGTCTCAGAGTTTGCCCTAGTGTGCGACAGTTCCACAGACTTCCACTTCCCGTCACTGGAGCGTCAGCTGCAGGTGATAGAGCAACAGCTCCCACTGGCTGCGGAGATCAAGGCCCAGAAACGTTTGATGCGGGGGGAGGAGGCCGACCAGGTCAGCCTGAACAGCTCCAGCAGCAGTGGCAGTGCCTCTAATGAAGACAAGGTAATCACTGGAGAATCCTCCCAGGTCTTTGTTTCTAGCTTCAGATTTACGTTTCATCAGATGTTAGTATGATGTAGTCCTTCTGCAGGTTAATAAACCAATAACTGGTGTCTTTGGTGTAGTGGAAGCTCTGTGCCATTGCACACAGAAGACAAGAGTCTGGTTTCTGAGTAGGGAAGTTTTTAACGCGCTGAGGACTCACGCTCTAATCATTCGATATCTTAATTTGAAGACATGCTGTTTTAGGGCACTTTTAAAAAGTTTCAAATAAGTTTTTGCCATCTGAAACTTATAAAGAAGGCATGCAGCAACATGCATACTTAGAAATATGTATATTAGAATTTCTAATTTTTGTATGATAGTTTGAAATGTGCTGCAACATTGCCTTTGATCTACTGCTGATCAGACATATATGTCTGCTGCATCCTCAAAGTGTGAATCGACTGTCTCTGTCGATCTACTGGAATGCTTCATCCCACCTTGCCTTACCTGGATTAGCCTTGACAGGCAGGGATAAGCAGCTGTCCTTTAAAATAATTGAAGTTATTTTAATTTAATCATTAAACATGCAATGAAATAGCCATAAGACTTAAACGGTCCTGCCTGCGCTTGAAGTCTTTGAGCCTCCAGTCCCTCCAATGATGTTTGCGTGTAGATGCAAACCCTCTGACAACCAAGCACACCCTGTGGTGCCATCTATGAGAATGTATATACAAGCTTGGACACAGAGAAAAATCTCAATTATCTTGAGCTCAAAAAGAACTGTGCACGTTTGAGTTTGAATCTTGCCATTATAAATGTATTTCGTTACTGCAGGATTCTGTACAGTTAATTCCCAAAATGTGGTTTTTGTATTTTTCTCTGGTCTGACTGACATCACACAACACATCCTATAAATAACTTTCAGCCAGATTCATCATCTTCAATGCCTTTCTCCCCTGGCTGGGTATAGGCCACATACAAGCTCCTTCCATTTATCTCTGTCCTGGGCCATCCTTCCAAGCTCGTTCCAAGTGAGCTTCATGTCTCTCATGTCCCTTTCCACGCATCTCCTCCATGTTTCCCGTGGCATACCCCTGCCTCGTGCTCCTTGTTGGTTCCACTGTAGTGACTGTCTTGTGATGTTTCCGCTGGGCTTTCTTAAGGTGTGTCCCATCCATCGCCACTTTCTTAATCCTATTTCTACTTCTATATCCTTTTGTCCTGTCCTTTCCCACAGATCTTCATTTCTTATTCTATCCTGTCACTTAATTCTTAGAATATTCCTCATACATCTGTTGATGAAAGTCTGGACTTTATTCAGTACTGTTTTTGTTGTCTTCCAAGTTTCGTGGCCATAGAGGAGCTCAGACTTGACAAATGAGTCGAATCTTGGTGCGCAGTGAGATGTTGCTTGCCTTCCAGACTTTTGACAACTGATTGAATGCTGACCTTGCCTTGTCGGTTCTTGCTTTAATGTCTGCCTCGGTTCCACCTTTACCATAGATGACACTTCCAAGGTAGATAAAGGAATCCACTGCTTCCAGGAGAGTGTCTTCCACTGTCACAGCAGGGCATGAAACTTTTCCTAGCTTCACTACTTTCGACTTGCCCGGGTGTATACGTAGGCCAACACTCTTTGATAGGCTGTTGAGTTCCTTGGTCTTTTCTTGCCTCTGAGCATGTGTGTGAGGGAGCAGTGCAAGGTCATCTGCGAAGTCCAAGTCGTCCAGCTGCTGCCAAGGGATCCACTGTATTCCATTACGCTTGCCTCTGATGGCTTCTTTCATGACCCAGTCAATTGCCAGTATGAAGTGAAAAGGTGAGAGCAAGCATCCTTGTCGCACTCCTGTCTGTACCTGGAATGGTTCTGAGAGTTGTCCTTCGTCGAAGACTTTGCAGTTTGTTCCATTATAGGTGGACTTCACAAGGTTGACGATTTTGTCAGGTATTCCAAAATGCTGCATGAGTTTCCACAAAGTTTCCCTGTCTACGCTGTCAAACGCCTTTTCATAATCAATGAAGTTGACCACGAGTGAGGAATTCCGTTCAAGCAATTGCTCAACAATAATGCGTAGAGTAGCAATCTGGTCCACACATGATCTGTTTTTACAGAATCCTGCCTGGTTTCCTCGGAGTTTCTCATCTGTTGCCAGCTTGATTCTCTCCAGGAGTATCCTGTTAAGAACTTTCCCAGGTATGGACAGGAGTGTTATGCCTCTGTAGTTTTTACAATTGCTGAGGTCTCCTTTCTTTGGCTGCTTGACTAGGTGGCCTTCCTTCCAGTCTGATGGTATTTCCTCCTTTTGCCAAACCTTTTCAAATAGAGCATAGAGAATTTCCACTAACGTATCTTCCTCTGCCTACTTAAGGGTTTCAGCTGGTATATGGTCAGGACCAGCTGCCTTGTGGGACTTCAGTGTTCTTCAGTGTATTTGTAGCTGCTTCAGCCAGATTAACATATCCAAATAGTCACACACTTGAACATCAGCTCGGCTCTCTTCATGATCCAGGAAGTGGTCATCTCCTGGGGAGCAAAAAGATAAAAATATATAGACGCCAGATTTTTATTTTTTTTCACTCTTCTGTAAAATTTACAGAAACCGAGTCAGCCGTTTAGAATCCTGCAGCATCAATTTACTGTTGTTTAAAAAGGGACTGTGGGGGCTTATTAATGAGTTGATACTTGTCTCTAAATCTGACATGTTTTTGAGAACTCCTGTAGTTATAATGATTTTTGTTTGTTTATGAAGGTATATTCGTATTTGCAGTTTTTTAAAATATGAATGTGGTGACTGATGCTTTACTTCAAATTCACCTTGTTTCTTTACTTTTATTTATCCCCAGGAAAAGGGTGGAGAGCGCAGGCTACATTCCGGAGACTTCTACTTGACAAAGCATTCTAACCTGTCAGAAGTTCACACTGTATTTCATGTGGTTGCCGACGACAACCTTCGAACGTCAGACATCACATCGCGACATCCTGTCATACTGGCCATCCGCAACATCATCAAACTGTCTTTCCGTTACGACATCCACACACTCACTGTCCCTCTGCTGCTCACTCATGAAATGACTGAGGTAACTTTATGGCTAATGTTGTCGACTGAGTTTCATGAACGATGAGTCTTTTCCTTTCTCTTTGCCTTAGTCGGTAAATTTAGAACGAACTGCTAGGTGATGCTACAGCAGAAGAGAGCTTTATATGATATATTAACAGACTGTTATGCTGGACTTTGAAAACTTTTCTTGTTTTGTTTATGTTGCTTTTAGCAAGTGTGTATTCTTTTGGAAAGGCCGTTGCTTGTCTAGATTTCCTTACATGGAGGCCTTGTTAAAGTGTATTTGGTGCACATTTTGCTAAAACTATTGGTGTAAAGTGAAAAAAGACATGTATATGAGATTTTAGTATTGAGAGCTCACATTCTGAATGAACAAATGAAATATGACTTAGTTTGTTCAAGAAAAATGAGTTGCCCAAATGACATGAATTTGGTACAAGTTAAGATTTGGCAGCAAAGATGAAGAAAATGCTGTGGGCCTTGGTCTTCAGGAACCCCCTCCCCCTAAATTCCCTTGTCAAAAACGAAAAATAAAAGGGCAGCATTTTTTCATGGCTGCCTTTCGATGATTCTGTCTTTGACAGGTTGGGCTGTACACAATTGTTGAAAATGTCATAGAAGGTAAAAGAGAAGGGAGGAAACAATAAGAAAAACCACCTAAAAAGTTATACGAATCCTAAGATCACAGGTTAGAACACTTGGATAGCTCCTGAACCATGTGGGCATTCTACACTCCTTTTGTTGACTTTGGTCTGCTGAGTGAGTGTATAGATGCATGAGTGAATGTGTGGGTGGGTGGTAGGTGAGTGAGTGTATAGATGTATGAGTGAATGTGTGGATGGGTGGTAGGTGAGTGAGTGTATAGATGTATAAGTGAATGTGTGGATGGGTGGTAGGTGAGTGAGTGTACAGATGCATGAGTGAATGTGTGGGTGGGTGGTAGGTGAGTGAGTGTATAGATGTATGAGTGAATGTTTGTATGAGGGGTAGGTGAGTGAGTGTATATATGTATGAGTGAATGTGTGGCTGACTGAGTGTGATTGTGCAAGTGATTGAGAGTGAGCGAATGCTTGTACAGGACAAGAATTGAATTTAATTTGTCAAGGAAAATCTGTATCATTATTTGTCTTATGTCAAATGAAATCTGGGGTCTCTTTATTTTTATCTTGTTGCTCCCCAGGAGATGACCATTTCCTGGTGCATGAAGAGAGCCGAGCTGATGTTCAAGTGTGTGAAAGGTTTTATGATTGAGATGGCAACCTACAGCAGTCAGGAGTCACGGACAATTCAGTTCCTTGTGCCAAGTGTAAGTTTTGTCAGTGTAGAGGTTAGCATGTCAGAAATGGGACCTATCACACTCATTGTTTGGGTTGTCATGTCAGTGATTTCTTTGTGTGAAGTACCAGATGTAAATTTTGCTAAATATAGATGCTGGGGCATCAGCGATGCCACTCTGTGAAGCACAAATTCACGATCGTGACCCTATGCGTTTTTTTGTCACCAAGGATGAAGTAACTGGCAACAAACAGTTTGACCACCCCAACATGGGTTTGCTCTGAAAGGCAGGGTTGAAATTGAGTTGACAGAGGCATGAAATATTTACTATCAAATTACAATACGATCTGTGAATACTTTCTACTGGAGTAAAAATATAAATGTCTCAATTAATTGATGTCACTCAATCTCTAAATGTTGATTGGATTTGGTTTGTGGATGCTTCTTCAAATTTTCAAAATGTTGGCTATTAGACTAAACCACATTGTAGAGTGAAATACTTCACTGAGACTGACTATGAACTATAGAACCAAGAGTATATATCAACAATTTTTGTTTAGTTCCTAAAGAAAATTGTGTGTGTGCATAGAGAAAGGTACCAAAAGTCGCCTCAGACTGTTTCGAGCTACAGGCTGATAATGACAAAAATAACTTTTTTTGACCAATGATAGATCCACCATTTTTTTACAATGTGCCCAAAGGGTTTTCATTTGTTTAACAAAAAACAAATAATGGAAACTGCTTTTAACTCACTTCAAACGGGTCACACAACAGTTGCGTGACCTCCGCCGCGACGCTCGCGACGGGTCTCACAAGCCCTGCGTGACCAACTTTGGAATTTTTTTTTCGCTCTACAAATCACGCACGGATCGCGAGACCCGCCTCGTACCCTTGTTTGGCCAAGCCTGAGCTACTTAGACTTCGTTTCGTATCTCTGGGGCCGGTACTTTTTAAGTTATTGAAGGTGAAGGACAGTGACCCCAGCTGGGGTTGAACAGACTGGAACTCGCGCTTTGTTTTTTTCTATACAGTGATAGTAATCCGACAGTCGCGTCGTAGTAACGGTCGAAGAAGTCGCATGAACAAAAATCACATAATTTCGCCGTTTTCTATACTTCTGTGCGTTTTACTAGTTCTAGTGTCTCAGAATATGATGTGTCTAATAGTTAGTATCCTGGATATGTACCCGAACACGGCCCGAGTCGTAGTTCTAGGGCTAGATCTAGCACTAGTACCGGTGTTGTTTTTCGCGCAACGAAATCACGTCGTGCCGTACATCTGTCTCATGTAATTCAGTGTATGGGTCTGAATCAATGCACAGACCAGCTTTTATATTTTCACCAAACACTCGCACATGTATACAAATCAAACCAGAACACTTTGAACTTTTATTTTTGTTGTTGCAGTGAATTTCATTCTACTTGTCACGTCTCTGGAAATTTTTCGGAAAATCAAATTCATGCCAATTTTTAAAAAAATCATACAAATTAAAGTATTAGACTTAGACAACTTTAGTTTTTTGTATTAGATTAAGCTTGAATGTTACTTTACTGTGTCAAAAAATGATTACAATAGGGTAATTCTGAGAGTTGTGGTGATTTATTGAAATACCCCCAAAAACGCCAGTCTTCAACGCTTGTGACTGGTGAAAGGGCCCAGTCGCAAGTGAGTTAAAAGGTGTTAAAATCTATTCTTCAAGCACATTTTCTCTTCCCTGCTATTTTTTACCATTGAATTCCATTCATGATATTGATGTCAACTGAATGCCAAACTGGACTTCAATTTTCAATGAATAAATACATTTAAAAAATCGGGTTTTTAAAAAGTTTGTATGTGTTCTCACGTTTGTTTAACTTAAAAGCTCATTTTCTCAAAATTCTATACCCTACCTTGCAAAATTTGCAATATCTCAAAAACTACTTGAGATATCAAAAAAATTCAAAGACCACTGTTCAGCTTTGAATTTCCTATAAGGTACTACCCTTAACTCGACAAAATGGTCAAAATCCTACTTTTGGTACCTTTCTTTAGGCTCACACATATATGTCTGTCTCCTTGGTCCTACTGTAGAAACATAGACTCATTGACTTCTGTGTCTTTTGTTATTGCGGTATTGTGAGAGCTAAATTGCTTTAGATTATACTTGTCCAAATTTTTCAGTTTCAGTGTATAGAGATCATCCACCTTGTTGTGCATGTCTGACATTGAAAACTTTCCACTATTGATAACCTATTAAAATTTCTAGCATCAGTGTGCCATACAGTAGTCTCCGCCTAAACGCACGCCATACAAAAGCACGCTCCGCTCAAATGCACACTTTCGTCATCTGACGGTTTTTTTACTATATAATTTAGACATACAAACGCACGGTCACTCCCTCTAAACGCACGCTCCGATCCACGAAACACGCCGACAAGTTAAGCTTGGCAAGGGGAAATTTTCACTATAACTTATAATAACCTGCACAGACTGCATACGGCAAGCCTAGAATTTACTAGAAAACCGGATATTTGGTGAGAGTGCCCCTCACGCCGGACAAAGCGAGTGATAGACAGCGTTTACACACCCTACTTTCCACTGACGCATAGGTCTCGGTCTCGGGCTGGTCGGTTAAATGTTGGGCGGGGGGGGGGGATTGGGGGGACTGAAATGTTTTCTGATTGGTCACTGGAAATATATCTTTGAGAGAAGGTTTCTGACTGGTGTTTGAGTTTGAGTGATTGCATGTAATGTTTAGTTAGATCTAGGCCTGATGCGCGAAATGCGTAAATGCCGTAAAACACTAGACAGGCCTCTATAGGATTAAAGATTAGCCAAGTAAGCCTAATAAGCTGCGCTCAAAGAACTTATAACGTACTTGTTCAACGAATCACAAGAGAAAATGTTTCTCGAGGATGATTCTGCATGAAATTACGGTCGTGGGCAGTCGCTTGGAAGGAAAGCATGTGGCTGGTCCGTCGACTCTATGACTATCACCAACCGTTTCCTCATAGGCTATCTGTTCCCAAAGTTTATAGTGCTTTATAGTGCATATTCCTTACTTTTTTTGTTTTTTTTCCTCCAGGGCTTGTCAGAAGAGTTGTTTCATCAGATTAGCAACATGATCCCGACCATCTTCAGATTGTCCAACCCTCTTGTTGTCAAGTCCAGCTAGTCCAACCAGTTGAGCCTGCAGTTGGCAAGCTCAGACAGTTGAGCCTGTTGGCGAGCTTAACCAGTTGATCCAGTCTTCAAGCTTTACATGTGGAACCAGACGCAAAGCTCGGTCAGTTGAGCCAGTTACAAAGTTCTAGGGTTGAGTCAGTCACAAAGTTTCACTGGTTGAGCCTGTCACAAAGCTGTATCGGTTGAGCCTGCCAAAACGCTCAGCCAATTGAGCCTGTCTCAACATGCTCTCAGTATTGAACTGAAACCAAGTCTGAGGTTTCATGTCTTTCAGCTGCAAATCATACCATGTCTGATAACCACAGTTGTTTTAAGTGGTTGTAGTCCAAATAATCTGTCGAGAAAGTTTCATGCTATTGTTGGTGAATGTAGAAGAAATAAGTGAAACTGAGAGAGTGAGATTGATTCTTTTTACATTGCTGCTGTTTCATGTCTTTCAGGGGCAAAAGGTGTCTAGTTTACCTCGGTTGCCTCATGCGCAAATGTTTGCTTTAGTGGTCAGTCAAGACCTGAACTGAAGTACGATTTCTGGTGGTGAAATGAAGTTTGTGAATATGTGAAGATTTTGGAGGCCACAGAGTTAATAACAGACTGAATTTTGAAAATGCTGCCATTGCCATGTTTTACTCAAATACATTTTCTTAATTTCTTGGAGACATTTTTGTACTTTTAAGGAATGTAGCGTTTAATTCTTGCTAATGTTTTTTATCATCTGTTCTTCAGAGGATGTGGAATATATCAAGTAAAAGGTGATTATTGTCTGAGAGGAGATATATATCTGAAAGGGTGAGGAAAAACTTGAGGACCTCCATTCACTTGCACAGTTAGTGTTTGAAGAAAGGGCCAAGAAAGTCTAAAGAATGCGTTTTTCTGTTGTACTGTTTTTTCACAGAGGGTAAAATTTGATGATGAGATAGAAATATATGACTCATGTTCCATAAAATTGAGGTAGTACCCAGAAAAACTTCAGAAAGGCTTTTAAACTTGATTTAAAGGAACATGAAGATTATTTAGCTGCTCTATTTTTCAGTCTCATCATTGTGTTATATCATAGTCTGAATTATAAGTATCTTGCAGTAGATTTTATAAAAGCTTTCATTGACAGTGCCTGGTTATCTGTGTCATTCCTGTAAACTGGTAATACCTATAGATATTAAAATTTAATGGTCATTTCTCATGTGAGAGGACATTTTTCTTGTCAAGAACGTAGGTACATTCTAGGTGGTTCTTGCTAATTGTTAAAAAAAATTTTTGTACGTAGATTTGCTCAACCCTGTGTGTTCATGATAAGTTTATCCTTTCTCCCCTTTTTTTTCAGTTATAGTAAACATGTGCATGTATTTGTCTCTGAGAAAACCTGTCGTTTTCTTCGTACAGCTGCTGTTCAACCTCCAACACACAAGACAACCTTAGAATCAAATTCTACGACCAGATCGAACTAATTTACCAATACTTTTTTTGGCATTGGTTTACTTCCTTCCTGCATCTCTTTTATGTCTAAAGTTGGTGCTTTTTTTTCCCTGAGGCGGCAGGGTCGTAAGGAGTTAAAGGTTATTGCTGTTTTGTGAAATGAGATGGATGGTCGATGGATGCGCTTGTGTGATTTGCTCTTTTTTTTTTCAAGTATTTGTAATCATCCCTTTTTGCTGGTATTTCAGCGAACCAATTATTATGTTGATCAAACTGTAAAACATACGCTCAAATGTCAAAACTCATCAAAGACTAGGAATTATTGGATGATTGACTAGCTTCTGTTTGGTTAGGTCTTCTGTGCATCTGGTACTGACAAAGGGATGTAACTGCTGGCTGATTTCCTCCCAGGAGCATAGACTCTAATATACTAGTGGAGCATACATAGACTCTAAACTAATGGAGCATAGACTCTACTATTGTATGTAATGCGTGGGTAACACAGGGGTGTCCTGGTCTTGCGTCGGACTCGGTCTTAAGATAGCCAGTTTGATTCCCAGTCCTTCAGAGTTGGATGCTGTATCCTTAGAATTAGAAAAGATAAAATTATTTTCCCCAGTTTGCTCATGTAAATGAGTAGCCTATACTTGATAGTCGGCTTTTTTTAAAAAGGGCATCAGTGGTAATCATAGCTGTGGTGAGAAAATAGATTGCTGACATTTGACCTCTTGTTTTTATTCCTTGTCAGAAAAGTGTGGCTGAGCCAGCACCAACAGTCAGCCTTAGCCTTTAGAATATTACTCTGTGCACTGGAAGTTGAACAAGTGGGTGGCTGCTGTTTGTAAAAAAAGTAATTGGAAAGGGTGGATGAGATGAAAGCCTTGATCGTGCGCAGGTAGTTCCATCCCTACATTGTCATTGACCCACCTTGAATTTTGAGTTAATTCAGAACATTGCTGTATCACACCAAGCAGTTCAGTTCAGGACGACCCTCACACTTCATCTCATAATTCATCTTTGTTGTGCATGTACGTTCCCACAAAAAATTAGTGTTTGTTAGGTCATGATTTGATTACTTGAAACATGTAGAATCATTTTTCTCCTGTGATAATGTGCAATATTTGGTTACTGATTTGAACATGGTTGTTGCCGTGTTGATATTTGTTTGTCTTGTACTTTGTTAAGGATGAAGGCTCATTTGATTACTAGCCGATAAATGTGCCCTGTTTGTTTTCAAAATTGATTAACCTGTAGAGGGTTATGTTTGATAACCGGTTGGGACAAAGCTGTCTATACGAGGTAGAAAACATTGAAGAAAATAACAATTGAAATAAATAATGTTCTCAAAACAAGATGTTCTTTGTCAATCTAATTCTTTTTCCTGATGCAGACAATCTTGGGTTCTCCACACTTTTCTGTTCTGTCAGTTTACCTGTTTTTTTCCAGAAGGCAGTTTCTTCATATTAACAAGAATTTATTTGGATGGTTGGCTGGTGCTCTGGTGTGGTTTGCTTCTTCTTTCCGATCCTATGAAACATCTATCGTCCTTATCTCCCCTTCTTCTTTTTTATGTTTATTACTCTCTTGTAACACCTCTAACCTTTTGGCGCTCATATGACTTTATGCAGTTGCGAGCGCCGTAAACCTGTACGAAAACTAAAACTAAACGTCCTTATCTACCCTCCTTCTATTTTGTGTTCGTTACTCTCTTGTAACGCCTGTAATCTTCGGCATTCATATGACCTTATTGTGTTGCGAGCACCGTAAAAACTTACTAAAACAAACAAGAATTTATATTTCTTGTTAGTGGTATTTTTAACAAATGCAGCCAGAGTAAAACAATTAGTGGTACAGTGGAATCCTGTTATAATGAGAGGGAGGGGACCGGTGCAAAATGTCTGTTATAGCAGGATTCTCGCTATAAGGGATCCAGTAATAAATTCATGGAAAACGGTGAAGTAGGCCCAATCTATGAGTTTGGTGTTCTGTTTATTTCATTTTGTTATCTCCCCTCATGATGATCTTGTTTCAACCTGACCTCTAGGTCTTACTTGATCCAAAATCGAATCAGATTTCTTTCTCTAGTGCTAGCGATGTTGACTGACAGCTCGTAGGCGATCAGAAAGATTAAGGGCTCTGGGCTAACTCGCCTGATGAGTTTTCCCCCACCCCACCACACCATGCGGTGCTTTCCGTCTGCTTGCGCACGTCACACATTCACTCCATCTATCATATTGCTGTGACCTCTCCATCCCCGTATCACTGAAATGAGAGGCATGGTAGGCCTAGATAATCTAGACAAGGCCTACGCTGGCCTATCACGCGATGCATTCTGCTTTTCTGCGCATGCCACAACCTCCCTACTCAGTCGCCCTGGCCTTCATTGTTGACACACATGGGCTCTCCCATCCTTTGTTTCGCTAGATTGCCAACTAGTTTCTCAACTGGCGAGGCATTACATAATATATAATTGGCCTATGCAGTGTGCACAGCAGCAGCAATATTCCGCTATAACCGACTCGCATATTTGTCTGATTGCGCAATAGCAGTATTTTATTTACAAAGATAAAGAGAAAAAAAACGGGGTTTTAGAATAGTGTCTTTATACAGTGGAATCCTGTTATAACGAGAGGGAGGGGACCAGTGCGAAATGTCCGTTATAGCTGGATTCTCGTTATTAGGGATCCAGTAATAAATTCAAGGGAAATAGTAAAGTAGGCCTAATCTATGAGTTTGGTGTTGTTTATTCCTGTTTGTATTTCCCCTTATGATTTTGTTCAACATGATCTCTAGGTCTTACTTGATCAAAAATCGAATCTGGTTTCTTTCTCTAGCACTAGCAATGTTGACAAATCGGCTTTGGCGATCAGAAAGAAGGGGCTCTGGCTCTAGGCTAACTTGCCCGCTGTGTTGTTCCCCACCCCACCTGCGTCTGCTTGCGCACGTCACATTCACTCCATCTATCACAGCATTGTGACCTCTCCATCCCGCACCAGAGAGGTGAGAGGCACGGTATGCCTAGATAATCTAGACTGGCCTATCACACGATGCGTTCTGCGCTTGCCACACCCTCCCCACTCATTCGCTCCGGCCTTCATTGTTGGTTCGCGTGGGTTCTCCCGTTCTTTGTTTCACTGGATCACCAACAACTTTCTCAACTGGCGAGGTTTTATATGTTTAATTGGTCTGTGTGCTGTGCACAGCAGCAGCATTATTCCGCTATAACATAACCGACTCGAGTGACTGTCTGATAGCGCAATAGCAGTATTTTATTTACAAAGATAAAGAAGGGAAAAAACAGGGTTTTAGAATAGTGTCTTTATAGCAGCCTTCTCGTTGTTTCAGGACTCATTATAAGTGGACTCCACTGTAACAGATTTCTCGTTATTTCAGGACTCGTTATAAGTGGACTCCACTGTATCTTGCTGCAAAGAATGAGAATTTTGTCAGCCGATATTGAAGCAAGGTCAATCGCATCTGCAAAAGAAAATAAAAACCTGTATATAACTTTGTATGTCATATTAAGCTAAATCAGTAAAAGTAAAAGGGATTCATCCCATTGTTCACCTGAGTTCCATCTGACACTTACTCACCCACTGAAAACTATCATGTAATTAATTAAACTACATATGCAAACGATTGATAAAAGACTTCACTACTATGTACCTATCATAAAGAACCGGTCTCCACATTGGTTTAATCCTGTACACTAAATCTGTGTCTCTGCCTGCTGCGCACACAGCCATTTAAACAAGGCACTGTGAAACAGTTTACATTGTTGCCAAATTAGTGATGGATAACTCTGCGTTTGGATGAAAATTAATCCGATCTTAAGGCAGTTGATGTGTCATGTCAGCTGTAGTCGATCAAGTTAATGTCCGAGTGAACCACATCACTTGGCTACTGGCACAGGGGAAACCATTTTGGCATGAAAGGCTTGTGAGGCATTGTGTCGATGGACGTGTTGACATCACCTGGCAGTGAGCCCTTTACTAACAGCAGCATCCCCCCCCCCCAACTTTTTCCAAGTCACTCAAGCAGACTATCTCCGTGTTGTCCCACAGAAATGTCCCTTACCCGCCTTATCCAGGTATCAGCTATGACTCTCATCACCTGCTGCTGTTGATAAAATAATTTAAGAAGCTTTTTGGGGCAAGTTTCTATGTTTTTAACAGTTGGTTGTGGTCTCCAAAATTACAATCCATCTGCAAAAGATAAAACGAGAGGAAGACTTTTTCACTTGCCTAAGAAGTCAGGAATTTATTGTCCTGTTTTGTCTACATACAACAGTGTAGTTTAAGATATATATAAATGAAACAAACATGAAAACAAATGTCATAGAGTACAATACAAACATCATACATTACAACATAAATATCACAGGACACAAACAAACATCATAGGACACCTACATCATACGAAGAAACCTGTTCAATACAAACAACATAAGACACAAACATATCACACTCTCACCAACATCACGATGTACAAACATCACACAAATACAAACATTAGCAAAAAAAAGAAAACAAACATCAACAGAAGAGAACAAAACAAATTCTTGGCAAAAAGTGGCATACCATGAACAACCAGAGTGTCAACACAAATTAAAATGACTACAGGCTAAAGGTACAATCAGCAAGGAAAAGAACATTTTTATACACAGAGCAGATTACTTCATAAAACTGCTGAAAAGACATGGAATGTTTTCACAAAATTATCACACATTGTGAGCAAACAAGTAGAAAATCATGACACCACCAGTAGACTACCATAAAATGTTCTCCGGTAATAAACACATCATAGCAAAGTTGAGTTGTAGTATTTAGATTTAGAGCAGATCGGCATCGTAACACTTACATTGAGTCAGAAATAGGAAAACAGCAGGACTAAGAAGTAGGCCCTATAAGTCAAGTAGTATAAGGAGCAGACCACGTCACACAGAGCCATAACCAGTCAAAGACTAGTTCAAAGACACATCACTCTACTGCTCTTCTTCTTTCACGATTTCACCTTCAAAGGGGCTGTTAGACCACTTGGTACAAGGCTGGACAATACTGCGAGAGGGAATCCTGGTTCGAATCCCAAACAGGGTCACACTGGTTTATTCTAAATGTCTGAGGCTTCCATTTACATAATTTAGATCATTTAGAGACCATCTGCTTCATCAACCTTGTCACCTTGCCTGTCAGGATACGTGATACTACACATGTGGGTCACATACACAGCATTCTCATAATCAACAATACATTCCTGTTGTCTCCACCAAAACAAACTTGCTAACGGTAAATAAGCAAGGCAGAAATAGTTCATTTATGGGAAAAAAGGAAGAAAGGATGAAATAAATATGAAAGAACACTGGCAAAGATTTGACAGACAACATCAAAATCTTTCTAAAGGAACAAATTGTTACCTACAAACCAAATCAGACAAATAAAATGAGTCTCTTTTTTTATCTAATCAATATTATGAGAGTTATTTGTTATAAAGTGGAGGAACGCACCCTTTGTTACGTGACTTGTAAAACATTAGAAAACAAAACTACAGTAAACATGAACCAAACAGAATAACTGGGTGCCAAACTAAGTAGCCAGTCCTGACAGAAGGAATTACATAGGCCAGACAGTTCAAACTTGAAAGTCTATGATCAGTGAATTCAGTGTCCAACACGACCACATGTTCTCACTTTCCCACTCCACACAACCTATACCAGTAGAGTAAATGTTCTATTATACAGGTGACATATAAAAAATATTAGAATGAACGTGACAAGTTTACAAAAGCTACTTCTACTACCAATATTCATCCAGTAAGTCTGAAACAGTAACCTAAACGCCATAATAAAAAAACTCAAAAAATAAACGTGGAAAGAAAAAAATTTACAATTTCCGTGCCCAATCCCAAAGCATGAAAAAGATGCACAAAGTATAATTCTCTGATAATAAAGATGCATAAAAAAAAAAAAAGGGATTTAATTTCTGTTATCAGCAAAAGAAGTAGCAGCCCAATTTGAAAAAGCGAAAGCAAGAATCCAAGGAATTCCCGAAGGAAAGAAGAAAATCATAAAGCTATCAAGAAATTCTTGAGAATAAGAAGTCTTTTTAAAAAAAGTAAAAGGGTGCTGAAATTGACTCATGATCATAAAACATCTGCATTTTTCAACCTTTCTGCTGTCTAACGCATAAAATCTTGTGTGATGCTGACTTGTATGTTGATGTCTGTCATTTAAGCTTATTACTATTACCACATCCATTATTTTGTTATTGACCGGCAGATAGAATTAATAATGAAATCTGCATTTGTAAAACTTGCAGTGCAGTATTACTTAAGTTTGTCTATCAAACTAAGTCGA